GGGAGGATTTTAGGTAGGGATGATTTTAAAAGTAATTTTAATCGGAAACACAGCTGGCAATATTTGGTTTTTAATTCGGCTTTTATTGGGGTTTATATTTTTGTATTTTTGTATTTTGTGTATAGTATTTGTTTTTTAATATGCTGTGAACCGCCCTGAGTCCTATGGGAGAAGGGCGGTATACAAATTAAATTAACATTAACAACATTAACATTAACATGGTTTTACTTTAGCTTAATATTTTATATTTATTGTACTGGCCACTTATTTGATATACACATATTTGTTCATACTTTAAACTTACATTTGCATTTGCCTGTATAGTGCATTTTATCTGAATTGCATATAAGGAATTGCATGACTCTGTAGATGCTATGCGCTAAACGAATAAATAAAAACCATCAGGAAAAGACCTGGATGCAGAAGAACGGAGGGAAGGAGGGAACCGCACGGAAGGCGCTTACCCGTCTGATGTCGTACACAGCCGATTCTCCTCTTGCTTTGTCGCGGCATGCCAGAATGACACGGGCGCCTCTCCGGGCCAGATCCACCGCTGTGGCCTTCCCGATCCCTGTATTTCCACCTAGGAAAGGCCAGAGAAAGGATTCACTGAGATCGCCCAGCCGTTGATGGGGCCCCAGGAGCCGGGCCTACGTTTGTGTGTCTGCAGTTTTTGTGGCGTCACGCAATGAAGCACTTGTCTGGCAGTGTTTCTCAACCTTGGCAACTTTAAGACGGGTGGACTTCAACTCCCAGAATTAAAAGCATCTTAAAGTTGAGAAACCCTGTCTCAGGGTATGATTTTCACAACTCCTTGAGAGCAGTTTTATATCAACAACAAATAATAGCTTAAAACTATTCAGGAGTAATACAAATAGTCCTCGACTTACAACCATTATTTTAGTGATCGCTTGAAGGTACGACAGCACTGAATTTTTTTCACAGGGTTCTAATATTTCAAACATATGAAAATCAAACACTAATTTTTTCCTGTTGTGTGGCTTTTACCCAATTCTGACATACAACAATCCATGGGATGGTTGAAGTACAGTTCAGCATTCCTGACTGAGATACCTGGAGTCCCTTTAGGTCAGTGATGGCGAACCGAATGCCCAAACTGCAACCCAAAACCCATTTATGCATCGTCGGGTGCCGGGTGGGTGTGGCCCATTGGGTGGGTTTGGCCCATCGGGTGGGTGTGGCCCATTGGCTGGGCATGGCTGCGGTGGTAACGGCAGACTGAGTGGGACAAAAAAGTTCAATCAATCAATTCCAACTTTGCAAGATCTTTTTTTTCCCGTGAGAAGTTGAAATTGACTGATTGATTGAACTTTTTTTTTTTTTGCACATGGCGGCGGAGGCCTAAAGCGAAAAGGTTTTATAAAACCCAGCTGAAGGCCTAGGACTGGGGTGACAGCGCGCGTGCCCACAGAGAGGGCTCTGAGTGCCGCCCCTGGCCCCCGTGCCATAGGTTCACCACCACTGCTTTAGGTCTTTGAAAGGACCCCTTTGTAGTGAGATGGATGGCAAATAAGTTTAGTAATAAAAAATTAAAAAATGAAAGGCATTTCAGAAAATGAGATACAATGTTTCTGTCAGACCAGAAGATGGCGCAGGTCTCCCAACACTGGCTCTGCAGGCTGTCACTTTAGTAACACAAGTCACAAAACAATTTGAAGGCCAAACATGCATTAATGCATGGATGAGGGGAACTAACTAATTGTCTTTTCTCACTCTGATCCAGGGACAAATAGAGTTACTTAGCAGGGCATAAACAAAGCCATTCGTTTTAAGTTAAAACTTAACTATTTCTGTGGACTCTGGAAATACTACAGATAGTCCTCAACTTACAATGATTCGTTTCATGACCGAAGTTACAATGGCACAAAAAAAAGTGACTTATGACTGTTTTTCACACTTTATGAACACTGCAGCCCCGTGGTCCATGATAAAAATTCAGATTCTCATATTTATGACGATCGCAGTGTCCCGGGGTCTATGGATATCTCAGCCAGCCTGGCACGCACACGTGGCGGGTGGCTGTAAATGCCAGAATGGCTGTCAATGCAGTATTGCTGGGTAGGGAATTCTGGGAGTTGAAGTCCACACATTTTAAAGTTGCCAAGATTGAGAAACACTGCTCTGTTTCCTTTCAGGTTAAGCAACGGTAAGAAGAGTGCAGGGAGGGAGGGAGGGAGGGAGGGAGGGAGGGAGGAAGGAAGGAAGGAAGGAAGGAAGGAAGGAAGGAAGGAAGGAAAGAGAGCTAAAACAATAACTATGTACCATGTTTCTCTATGCATTTCTTTCTTGGCAAAGACTCCATTTCTTCTGTTGCCTTTCATTCTTTAAAATGACCTCGTTCTTTTTCAGGATCGGATCAATTCCATCCAACCACAATCTCAGATTTCTCTTCAACCTGTTCACTTCATATACGATATACATTGTGCCAGTTTCATAGAACGAAAATTGTCTAGGGTAGAAATCTGGAGACGATAAATTCTACTCCAGCTGGGTGACTCAAGCCAATCACCAATTGCCTTAGGCACGAAAGCCAGTTGGGTAACTATGGCTGAGTCACCAGGAGACTGCGAGTTCTAGTCCTGCCTTAGGTGTGAAAAACCTGCTATAGGTTCTCCTGCTTGAGCAAGGGGCTGGACTAGAAGACCTCCAAGGTCCCTTCAAGCTCTATTCCTATTCTACTCTACTCTACTCTACTCTACTCTACTCCCATCACGATCCCCTGCTTTATTCCGAAGGAGCTTTTTGGGATGGACTTTCCTGCTTTTGTCAAAGGCACCTTTGGGTCCACCTGGATGGGGGAGAATCTGGTTTATGGTTAACCTGCGACTCGCATTTGACTTCGACCTTAGAGCTGCGCTTTGATTCCGGGAGTTTGATCCTGCCTGGAGCCACTGAGGTGGGGTGGGGGGTGGGGGGTTTATTTAACAAGAAAGAAAGGCGACGCCCCCCCCCGCCACGGATGGGAGCGCAGCAGCCCCCCGGAGGTACCTGTGATGAGAACCGTCTTGCCCCGCAGGCTGACCGCGTTCCGGCACCGCGTGGCCGTCGCGAAGTTGTAGTAGAGAAGCGCGCAGAGCCCCAGCAGGAGCGCCGCGCCCGCCGCCAGCATCGCCAGCGCATCCATGGTCCGCTCGCCCGTCCGGCCCCGCTTCCTTTCCCCGCAGCCCGCCAAGGTTTCGTTTTTACAGGGACGGTCCCCGCCCTCGGCCCTCCTCCCAGCTCCCGCTCCTCCCCGCGTGGGAAAGCCACGACCATGGGCAGCGCTGCCAATTTCTCGCCCTCCCCTCTTCCCCTCTTGGGCTACGAAGGGAGGGAGGAAAGAAAAAAAGAAAGGAAGGAAGGAAGGAAGGAAGGAAGGAAGGAAGGAAGGAAGGAAGGAAAGAAGGAAGGAAGGATCCTCAGAGGGAGATCTAAGGAGGCATTTCCTCCTAATGAGAAGACTTAACCAGTGGAAAAGCTTCCCTCCAGAAGTTGTGGGTGCTCCATCCCTGGAGGTTTTTAAGGAGAGACTGGACAGCCCTTTGTCTGGAATGGGTATAGGGTCTCTCTCTGAGCAGGGGGCTGGACTAGAAAAACAGAACAGAACAGAATAACAGAGTTGGATGGGACCTCGGAGGTCTTCTAGCAATAAGTTTTGTCTGGCATGATCTGGTTTCGACAAACCCATGTTGACTTTGGGTTATGACTTTGTTTGCCTCTAGCTGTTTGCAGATTCATTGCTTGATTATCAGACACTTCTTTCTGCAACCAGGCTGGTTTCTTTTGAGAGCTGTTATTTTTCTTCTTTGTTGTTATTGTGCTAGACTGGGCTTTTAGAATCTCACTCTTCAAAGTTTCCCAAGCTTCTTGGGTTGTTTTTACCTTGAGAATTCTCATCCATGGAATCCTTCCCAAGCTCTCTCTAAGTTTATTGAAATCAGCTCTCTTAAAAGTCCAAGACTCTAGTTTGACTGTGTTCTATTGCTTGTGCTTGCATAATGTTGAATTCTAATATTGCATGATCACTTCCTCCCAGGGTTCCTGTGGCTTCAACCCCTTCTATCATTTCATAAGTCCAGTATGGCTGATCCATTGGTTCCCTTCTCTACTTTTGGGGAGACAAAATTGTCTGCTAGGTTAGTTAGGAACCTGTTTGATCTTCCACTTGGTGCAGAGTTTGTCTCCCAGTTGATGTCAGGGTAATTAATATCCCCCATTACTATTGTGATGTGCTTCCTACATAACTTAGTTAGCTGACTAGCAAAAAGTTCATCTATTTCCTCTATTTGATTGGTTTGTCTATAGTATAGAATAGAATAGAATTAGAGTAATGATAAGAAGAATAGAATAGAATAGAATAGAATAGAATAGAATAGAATAGAATAGAATAGAAGAATAACAGAGTTGGAAGGGACCTTGTAGGTCATCTAGTCCAACCCCCTGCCCAAGCAGGAGTCCCTACACCATTTCTGACAGATGGCAGTCCAGTCTCTTCTTGATTTCATCATTGTTGTGCTCTATTTCTCTAGAGATGTAGTTATTTTTTATATATAGTGCAACTTTATCTCCTCTTTTATTAGATATTTTTTTAAAAAATAATTTAAATCCCTCTAGCTGCATATTCCATTTGTGGATTTCATCCCACCAAGTTTCTGCTTTTTGCTGCGCCTCCACTTTCTTCAACTCGGACGGAGCAGAGCCACCCAAGCCACTAGTAGCCGATTGAGTGCAGAGGAAGAGGAGGAGGAGGAGGAGAAGAGCGTGTGGCCGTCTGGCCAGGTGAGGAGAAGAATGGCAATGGTGGCTGGCTGGCTGGGGAGGGGAGATCATGGTTGGAGAGAGAGAGAGAGAGAGGGAGGGACGGAGGGAGGGAGGGAGGGGGAGGGAGAGGGAGAGAAACGCAAGTGCCTCTCTCTGTCTCTGTCTCTTTTTGTCTCTTTCTGTCTCTCTCTCTCTCTCTCTCTCTCTCTCTCTCTCTCTCTCTCTCTCTCTCTCTCTCTCTCTCTCTCTCTCTCTCTCTC